TCGTGATTAATCGCGTTCTTTCGACGCCCGTGTCCGGCAGCGATCGTATCTCGTATCGGACGAAATATTTATCCGAAGCAAATTAAGATTCGTACAGACGTATATAATATTATTAATATCGTTGAGTTCCTATTTAGGTATATACAGATGCGCGATAATGATCATTACGTTTATTGACAAATAGATGAAACGCGACGTTCGACGTAAGGTTTTTTTTTCGTATATCACGGTGCGGGAAATTGAATTTGGCAAAATAATAATACCGATGTTATGATCTAAAATAGATATATATAAATGACAAATATTCTCTCTTTTTTATTATTTCAAACAGCAGATAAAATTTCTTAAAAATTAGGAAGTTAGATTAATAATTTCTAAACGTTATATGGAATTTATGAATGAAATATTTATTATTGTTACAAAGCTTCTACAAAAAATGTATTGGACAAAAGTTAATAATTGACAGAGAAAAACATGACACAGAATATTTACAGTCATTTCTAGAAATTACATGAACGATAAAAAATTTATTACTGTTACGAAGCTCCTACAAGAAATGTATTGAACAATATTATGAGCAATAACAAATATAATCACCTATACAGACATATTCTATGTATTTCTGCATTCGATTTTCGTGGATTTTATACATGAATGATTTAAACGATATCATAATTAAACGACGAATAACACATTATCTATGACGATATATTTCATTTACGTGCGAGACTTCTTAATTTGATTAAGATACTCGTCTTATGATTTATACGATTCCGATATCAACTTCCTTGACATTGGTAGATTTATTGTGTCCCGGTCGCATAATTTTAATCCTTCCATATTGGCTGCACTAAATGCATGACACGAACGAATAGTACCCGGATTTCTACATTCAAGTCGTGCCGTACAATGGATCGTCGTGCATAATATAAATAGCAGCTGCAATCTGCTACGTAACTAATTGACAAGTTTAATACCCTGGATAATATATGTAGGTTTTGTTATTCGGAATCGTCGAGCAAATCCAATCGCATTACGTTGTTAATATTTATGCGCTATTATTATTATTACTCTACCGCGCCTTCCTTCGTGAGACTTACCTACATCTTTAAAGATTTCCTCCTCATTTGTAACTATTTAGTGTTGTAGGTATAAAAAATTATTTTGATTTATTTTATCGTTGCTTATAATTTAAATACACGAAATTATTCAAGAATACAAAAAAAATTACTTGATTTGGATAAATATGAAAATTTTTAATTATTTGTCATTTTGCGTGTGAAAAAAATCAAGAGACAAATTTTGAAGTTTGAGAAATCTCGCATATATTGTTAAGGATTAATCTAATTATCGATTCTTTGACGATACGTGGTCTAGCGAGTATGACTCTCGCTTCGTTGATAGAGGCATTTTTTGTGGCATCACCATAGGAAACCCGATTCTAATCATGCTAATCGCCACTACGCATAAAAATCTCCTGGAATAGCTGTCTTGTCGAATGCGCATAATTATTGTGCAAACGATCCAGCTATCTTAAATGCGTTAAAAATATAGTTTCTTCGAATTTCTAGACACTTTTGTAAATATTTGTAAGATTTTAGTTAAGAAATATAAGCACAGGGGATTTGTGCCATTATGTCATTACAAGCTAATTCTTGTACGGAAATATATGCTATATTTAGGAAGAGAAAATGTTGAAAGATAAAATAATATTTTCTGATTTAATTATATTAGAAGATTGGACGAAATAACATAACATGTATAAGCAAAACGATAGATTAATCAATTTTCAACAAAACTCTTCTTTTTATTCTTCCAAATGAAGAATAAGCATATCCTGCAGTTCATTTGTTTCCATTTATCTACTTATGTATATATTATCTTTTTTCTTTTTATTAGAGTAGGGTTTATACAATGTAGCAATTATTAAAGAATATATTAAAAAATAATTGTTGCTAAATTCATCCGTCATTTCATTATGCAATATTTATGATTTGTATTGCGAAATCTCTTTGACATACCTGAACGTTACTTTCGAAATTCACGAAGCGTAAAGGATCCAGGGAAGGCTGCGAAAACAAGGTGGCTCAATGACATCGTAGGCGTTTTGCGATTTTCTGCCAGTAAACGGCACTTTAATGACGCGACTTGCGAAGAGCTGATTCGCGGAAAGTATAATATTTAACAACTGTTTCGCGGTAAAGCTGTACCGAGTCAGATATACTTTCAGTAATCGACGAGATCAAATCTCGTTTTGAGTGAATGATTCTCAAGTAATTTTGTAAAAAACTGAATTTTAATATGTTTAAAAAATCGGAAATAAAATCAAAGTTTAATGCGAGAGCGTAATGTATTTTTTTTAAATTTTGCAAATTTTATTGAATAACTAGCAAACATACTACCAAAATATTTTTAAATTTTATCAAATTTCTCTTTCTCTGTCTCTTTCCTTTTTTTTTCAAGAATACAATATGGTTTTTATTGTTAAATAGTTACATATTGTGTTTAAAAATAAATGTTTGCGGATTTTTTATTTCAATTTTAAATTTTTCATTTCGATATCGCGAAAGCGCAACTGAAACAATATTTGCATGCTTCGTTGCGTTTGTCCGACCAAGCGTATGTGGGCGATCGATCTATTCGGTGATCGACGGGTCTATGGATTACAGACATGATGTCTATGCCGACTGCGTAAGTAACCAGTCGTGATCTACTTAGGATAAATCGCTAATTATGCAAAACCGATCCATTGATAGCGTGAGTTTTTCTGAAGTGATACCGGTTTCAGGGCCGATAAATTAATTTTCTCATTTTATTTCTGTTGAATCGAATAAATCATGTTTGTAATGTTGGTGAATGTTGCTTGGTATGCTAAAAATAAATAGCGTTGTCATGCGAAAATATATGTCCAATTATTATCAAATGCTATCTTTATTATAAACATGATTTATTCGAATATATTATATACATATATTAAATTAAAATCATATATAATATTTTAATACACAGAAAGTAGCATAAGAAAACAATATAAATGTCGTGATACTAAAATTAAAATCATAACTTGTTACTATCGAGTACATAGTTAATTACATAGTTATGTAATTGGAAATAAAAATGTGTCATTAAAATTTTATATATTAAAAATCTAATCTCTCTTATAATCATTATAATAGGACTATAAATTCTTACGACTTTCCTGCTTTTTCTTCTAACCGTCTGTTTTATAGTCCAAGAAGATCTGGTCTCTACTCTATAAGCTTGAGTTGTCTAAGCGAAATCGCTTAGTTTCCTCTAAAAAAAAAAAATTTGAACATAACATTCGATAACACTAAAATAGTTATGAGATCGTATCGCAATAATTTCCGAAGTCTTTCGATTACCCCGCGTCTTACTTGCGTCCAGCTATTAATTCGCATAAGCTTTATTAGAAATAGCAATACGAATCTTTTATGAATGAACGAGAAGCCAATGTATTAGTTAATTCGCGCGAATCCACGCTTTCTGTATAATACTCGGCGAAGCACTCGGCGAGGTCCGCTTCTTACGGCGAGCTTCTTCGCGTAAGGGGTCTCCACGATGTTCCTTTTGCCGAGCCTCCGATGGTCTCCGGGTACACGAAGCCATTAATATTATTACCGAGCGAGAGCGTGTGGGTATCATTATCGCGGACGATGGAAAAAACGACGATCGAAAGGGACGCCGAGAAACAAGAAAGCGTGGAAGAAAGAGAGACGAAGGGGAGGACGAGGGAAACAGCCAGAAAGAGGCAGCAGAAGGAGGTGATGGTGGTGGTATCCTCAAGTATAAGAGCACCTTTATACACTCGACTTGAGGAGGCTCCTCGATTACGCGGGCATTCGAAATTTTCGGGGCTCTTCCGACACCGCTGGGAATCACCCTCGAAATTGATGTTGCCCGGCCACGCAATCTCGGCCCGTTCAGACTGCTCGATTTTTCTCGCTTGCCCTGCCCTCGTACATCCCTCTTTCTCCTCGAGCCATCTAGAGTGAGACAAGGAGGAAACATATTTATTATATTCGCCGTGACCCGGGAGCAGCGCACGCGGGATCCGCGCGTTCGTTGCCGCGAGTGCTCGTACATGACGAGGAAAGTGCTATACCGCGTAAAGATTAATATCCTGCGAAAGAGAGGCGAAAAGAAATATATATTGGCCCACGCGAGGTTTGGTGATTTATCGCGTTGTAGTCCATTTACTTGGAATGCCCGCGAAATAAATTCAACACTTGTAATTCATTGAAAGACAAATAAGCCGCGTCAATTATGAAATACACCTTTCATACTTTATATTACGCCATACACTAATCGCTAATGTATGTAAATATTAAATACTATAATTCTGTTTTACAATAAATTGTGAAAAATCTTATTTTCATTCTTGTTATAATTTTCCTTGGAAGATCACAAATATGATCAACACATTTCATGTAATCATATAACATAAATTTTTTTCAATTATTTCAAAGCGATTGAGCTTCTGGATGAATGCTATGCGATATTTTTCGTTTTCTTTTCTTCATTTCTCTCGCTCGGTATTCGTCATCGAAGACTCTCAAGAATTCCTTCACCGCGCAGCAATATAATTAAGTCGAGATAATGCAATTTACGATACACTAAGCACACGTACGGTTATATGTTGCGATTAAATCTCGATATTACGATAACAGTTACGATAGCCGATGTCGACCCAAACGTCGGGATCATGGACCCCAATGTTATTTTCTCTTTAAGGGCCGTTGTAAAAAAACAAAAATATATGAAAACATCATTTTCTTATAATATTTATTATTTTAGCTCTTTCATAAAACTAAATGTATTATTCGTATTAATAAGATAGATTTTATGTATTTTATATGCTTTTAAGAGATGAATATGTCCATTATTAAATTGTGAGACCTTTAAATTATGATGCCTTTTGTCAAATTTAAATTTACCAAACGGGGAGAACAGATTATTACGAGGATATTTATTTTTTGCAGATTAACTTGCCCCGAGCCGTACTTCCTTAGCGATGGTTTATACGCGACACCAGAAGAACTTGAGAATACACGCGAGGTCACTCTGCATGTGATAACTATTGGAGCTTTCATCGAAGATTCGGCAAAGGTAAGTACCTAAACTGGATAAATATCGTTTCTTTATAAGATAGCTGTACGAGCTAAAAGTCCGTTAATCTCTTTCGCTGCTATTTATTTTATTATTCTCATCATTTGTATGGCAAATGCTTTATACATTATATACACGATTATAAAAAAAATATGAAGTCCTTTTGATTTAAATAGGATTTTGATTAATAGGATTTTCATTACAATTGTTTTTTATAGAAAGGATAACGATAACATTTTCAAGTATCAGTATTTGAAAAAGATAGAAAAAATTTTGTTTACGTCAGTTAGGCTTGTTCTTAAGATGCTTATGGATATAAAGGATTATCTCGTAACATTCGATGAGTATTAAAATCATCCTTTAATCCAATAGAATTTGCGTGATTATTAGTATTACAACGTGGACAGTCCACGTAATGTTTTCCACTTTTTCTTCGATTCGCATCAGACGACGTGCTTGGAGACCCTTAAAATTCTTCTTCGACCAATCAAACGACCTCAAATGCCCTGGCTTTCTTCATGCGCAGCTCAATAAGCGGCAAATAAGCTAAATAAATAAAAATTCGACTAATTGCAAAGTGCACGCGGATGCCAGTCCATCCGTCGACATTTCTTATCCGACGTGGGTGCCGATTAAAATTACGTATAGCTATGCAGGCCCATACCATGTCGGTCTCGCACAGCGCTAGGGCTATCTCGCGGCTTTCTCCTCGGATCGCTAATTAAACGCAACGGCTAATTAGATAACTGATAAAAGGTTATGGCGAGCGGCACGATGTACTTTTCTGGTCTCTCTCTCTCGTCCGCGCGCGTGTTCTCTTTCACCACATCCGCGCACCACGTCCTTTTGCCTCTCTCCCCTCCTCCTCCTCCTCCCCCCCGCCCACCCTCCTACCCTCCCCTGGCCTCTCCGGCAGTCCGCCGAGTTCGTTCCGCTGAAATCTGAAACTCAGCTTGAATTCCACGGTCGATGAGGTCCCCGTGACCTTGAGACTTTGGAGGTTTCTCTTGGAATATTTTTGTGCGGATAATGTCTACGTGGGCAGCGCGATTGGACTCTCTCCGTTTAAAGTGTGCCTTAATAGCCGGACGTCTATTTAAATAGGCATCCGATTCTCTATGGATAAACAGCGTTATATAAGTGTATTGTAACGTAACATAAGAGTAATATAAGCAGCCGACGGAGTGGTAGAAAGTAGCCAAAAATACACACGTTACCTTGTACCCCGCTGTTTAGACACGATCGAAAGGAATGATTTATTACGATAATGAATTTTATTTTGGTTTGGCCGGTGCCGTTATTATTGCGGCGCGCGTTAGGGCACCTGAAACACACTGATAATCGAGACGGACTTCCTCGAGAAAGTGTTCCCTCGCTGTTTATTCTGTCGCGATAACGAGTCTTGGAACTGGTTCGCATCCAGCTTCGTATATGCCTCATTACTTGGCCGAAGGGCTTGGTATTTTATTTACGCGTTTATACTCAGGTACAGTTATTATAATTGCTTGTCGCCCTTGCGTGATTTATGAGGGCCCGGCTAAACACTCGCTCTTGAACGGTTACATCCTGCTCCTAATAGCTACCGTGCCGCCTTACACCGGCCGTTACGCGACACTCCCAATAAACGGTGCAAAATTCGCGTGCGTGTGTGTACGCGTATGTCTTTTGCTCTTATAAATTTTGCAATATCTTCTTAACGGCTGAAGTGGTATTCTATTATGTAACTTCGTAGTACTTAATTTACATGTGCATAAATCGGATGAATTAGCTGAAGATCAACGCATATAATATTAAATATCTTGCAAACTAGCATCGAAATGTTTATCTTCTTTTTCAAACGTTTACAATTTATATTTCTACATAGAGCATCAATATTCAGTGTTATTGGCATATCTATTTATGAGGTGTGAGAAGTTATGCCTCTTTCATTCGACTTGTATTTCTCGGTTTAAGCGCAATTAGCGCATTTCTGCGAGCTTTACCAAGTAGTATGCAGGAAGCAGTAGCGGATAAAGAAAATACAAGTCGCATAGTGGAGGAGAGTCAACTTCGGAGCCGCAGTGGCCTTCCGGGTACATTGAATAATGCATACCGCATCTGGGGGCAACATTGTTGCGCTATGGGGACACAACACGGAAGAAACTACCAATTGACATGTCGACAGTTTTACGGGCCAGCGACTTTCATGCATCATATATTTCGAAATTGAAGAAAGCCACATGCGGGACGCAACTCACGACATACTCGTTGCAATACTCGTTATGCAGCATTTCAATTAAATTGGTTATTCCCTATTCAAAATAATGCAAATTTGAAAGCTAAAATTATTTTTGAAATTAAATAAATATAATTTATTTTTTAATATAAAATATTTTCAATCCCGTATAATATTCAAATGATGACATATGACATATTTAATATAACGTCACCATAATAAATTTTTTAATAAAAATTTCATGTATTTAAAATATTTATATGTCTTAAAAATAATGAAACTTTTTATTTAAAGATGTATTTTTAAATCGTATAAGAGAAAAGGAAAGGGTATTGTACCTAACTGGTGACACGCGCTAAAGTAAGATACATATTCACGGTGTTAATGTTCTTGCAGCCAATTTAAAAGAGATTTTTCCAAGAAAATGTTATTATATCTACGTTCTATATTGCGAATAAATATTCATTTTTATAAACGCTCCGTCTTAACTGTGCTATAAGCACACTTCTCGGTCGCGAAAGATGATCGGTCAACTCCTAAGCACAGCAGCGAGCATAAATTATTCAGGCGATGTAGCAAAAGCGATTAATTTTATTGGTCGACGTCCCGGATACGGCTCGTCTGTACCCGTCACCGTTGCTTTTGTTGCAACGTCCTATCCTATGCCCCGTGTTTCTCGATCATGTGCCAGCCAGACTAACACCTTATTAACGGCGGTGGTTGCGCGAATGCCGGCCGCAGGATAGTTGCGCAAAGTTATTCGCGCGCGCTTTCAGTGCCGACCAGGCTAATACTATCTTACATGTTGAAAATTAATCCGCGAGGTCTATATGACGTGAAATTTATCATGAACTAACTCGGAACAAGCGACAATTTAAGTGCTCTCTTTGTGGACGATACCGGCATTAAAATTTCGTTACGGTTCGATCGTAATTCCAACGACATAATTCGGCTGATTTCGTAAGAATAAGTAGAAGGGACAAGTAGAAGGAAAATTATTTATAGTGGTATTATGTTGAACACGTTATTACTGTTATTATTGTGATATTAAATTTCTCTTGACTTTAATTTGCATTTCGTATCTTTCAATCGATGTCTTACGCCACAAAATTGATATCCATGATATTAATATTAACATCTTGTGTAGTCATTTACAAGTCTAAACAGTCGTTTCGGAAATTTACTTTGTAAACTTGTAGATTTTTTACGCCGAAGGTTTATAGGATTCAAATGGACGAACCATCAGATAACTTGCCTTTCATATTCGAACGGCCCACGTAGCAACTTCGTGCTTCAATAATGAAACACGTTTTTTTGGATTATATTACTAGGAGAAATTGATACCAGAGAATAATCGTGGTCTTTATGTTTTTTATTCCGACGGTGGCGACTTTTCCAATCCGGGTTTGCCATCAACTCTTTTTATTCCTTAAAAAAAAAAAACGCTCGGCCACACCATAGATAGCTCTAGCATCCGTCCATGGTATCTCGATGATTTCCCAGTAACCACGAGGTCAACACTTACATCAGGACATGTTTGGACGATGAGAAAACCACGAACAGAAAAGAAACTTCATGGTAAAAGACCTTGAACATTTAAGTTTATGCGTACACCTGCGTGCACGTACCTTCTTCGTATCACAAACAGATCGTATTATATTCTATAGTACTCTATATTGATAAAAAAAAGCGTCTACTCTCGTGTTTCTAACATTTGTGTTATTTAAGTATTAGATTTTTTCAGGAATGTGAATGTACACGTTATGCTTTGTGCATTTTTCTTTTTATTAAATACATATATGTATAAAGAATTTACATTACCTATATTGTTATGCTCATATAAATAGATATATAAAAAATTAAAAAATTTTTGACATTTTTTTTATATACAATATCTACATTTACATAAAATTTACACAAAATTTCACCTTACAGAGCTTACTTTAAATTCTCTTTCTTAATGGACAATTTATTTCTAATCCTGTTAAATGTTACAATATATTTATGATACATTTTTTTAAACAATATTTTAGTTTATATGCGTTCAGTTTTAAGTATAAAATAAATAGAATTATATTAGTACACACACACACATTCATTATTTGGCTTTGACAAGCCATAATATAGTATTTAGTATCATAATAATATTCAGAAAATACAATTCTGAATGCAATTTTTAAATGAAAGATCTATTCTGATAAATATTTCATACGTGTTTATATATCTGTCATATGTTTATTATTTTTTTTATGTAGTATCCATTTTTCCTCATGAGTCATGATATAATCTAAGACTAGATTAGCATTTTTAGTACAACAGTTATTTAAAAGTTATTACATTTTTATAAGGTATTTTCCATGATGAATTATTATGGATCACATTGTGCGATAAAATGATTTGGCACCATTATATATTCTCAAAAAAAGTCATTTTCGATACACGTATTTGTCTATTGCAGATATAACGATAGAAGAATAATATTATCTGCTGCGCTGTTTTTTTTGTCCTTTTTTTTATTGCACAAACAATATCTGCTGTAGATTATTACGCGACGCCACGCGTGTCTTGAATTAAGTGTCGGAATAATGAGCATGAATGAGCCGACTATTAGACAGGTATTCGGTTACTACGGCCTGAAGAACCATAGGTCAGCACCACTGTCAGCGATTTTAGGCTGAAGTTACCGAATGGACAGACACCGTTGCTGAATCACGTTGAACATAGTTCGGTCGAATAGCAGTTACCGATCATAAATCAATTTGGTTCTTATGTTTTCGCGCCGTAA